GGCGGTGTGGTGTTTGGGTGGCAGGCGGTGGCAGGGGGCGGTGGCAGGGCCCGCCGGCCGGGGCCGGCAGTGGTTGCGCAGTCGCGGCGTTGGAGAGGTGGGAGAATGGGCAGCGATGGTGCAGGGACCTAGCAAGTTAGAGCAGGCGTTTGGGGAGGGGGTAGCAGTTACTCCTGGCTGTTACCGCGCATCCAGAGAGCCCGAGTCTCTGCTGTCTCCAGAGATGCTGTCAGGTGCAGCATGGAGATGTCCACTTGCTTTGTGGTAACTTGTTAGCTTTCCTTTTCCCTTGTCTCCTCCGCTCAGCTCTGCATTTCTCCGTCTCATTCACCTGTTGCATCCTGTCAGCCCAGATCGTGAGCTTTCTAGGACACAAACTTGTCTGCACAGCTGTCAGTTTGCATAGTGCTGTTAAAAGGTAACTTTGTTTATGTTGGTGATGACTCTAAATTGTGCCATTTCACTGCAGCTCTTTGTGCTAAGGTCCACAGATCTGTCACGTCAGGTATTTTGTTATGGGCCAGAAGCAAACCTTAGATCATCGGTGAAAGAGAAATACTTTTATCACCTGAAATTTCCTCCCCCCTTTTCTTTTTCCTAAAGGCACAGCTGGGCCTTTCACTGCAAGGCTTTTTCGAGGGAGTCTCCAACACTGAGTCACGTTTCTGACTAACCATTTGGATCACTGCATGTCAGCCAGTTTCTGGCTATGACTGCAGGTTATGTTTGTCTGTAGGGAAGGCTCCTCTCGGCTCTGCTGCTCGTTCCAAAGTGTGTGGAGTATCTGTTGTTCCCCAGGTGTCAGGGAGAAGGCTGTACCTGAGGACAGACAGAAGAAAAAGGAAAAGTTGTTTTTTACTTCCTTTAGTGAGTGGTGGGCTTGGTTTGTTGAGTGTGTGAGTCTTAATCAAGACAACCCCCCTGCTGAGGTAGAAACAGGAAAAAATGTCTTATCTTCTAGTTAGGGAAGCAAATGGCAGTTTGAAAATTTCAGCCAAGTGTTGCTGAGCTCAGCCCTTCTTTCCTTTGGGCTGTGGAAAGAGGGCGTTGGACATGGTAAGCATTGTGCCAGGACCAGATGGAGTCTGGCCTTCCTGTGCTTCTCTGCTATCCCACCTGTGGCCCGTTTGCCAGAAGGTTGCTGCTGCTGCAAGACTTGAGAGGTCAGACCGACTGTGTAGCTTCCTGCTGTAACCCCTTTTTGAAATCTAGCACTGAGTTCAGTGATACTTCTTTCTCATACGTACGTATGCCCATGCATCCTTCTTCATATGAGAAGGCCGGCTTTGCAGGAGAAAAGCAGGGGTGAAAATAACTAACAGGTGCCTCCCTCCCACCCCAAAAAAAAAGGTGGGGGGAATAAACCCAAACAAGTGTCAGGTGGGACAGAACATGGGTTGTTGCCGAGCTGCTCAGGAGTTTTGTAGCTGCCAGGGGAAACCTGCAGCTATTTGTATTGTGAAGGGATGCAAGGAGAAGTACCATAGCAGGC